TGGGAAGTTGTTCGATTGCACGACTTGTCAGCGGGTGCTTGCATTCAGGTGCAGGCAGGGGCTCGGCGAGGTGGCTCCGGGAAATGGCATCGAGAAGATTGGGAGTTGTTGCTGGAATCCTACCCCACCTTGGAATTTGGCAGCGGTGACGTGCATCCCCTGGTGCTGGTTGAGGCCCACTTGGATGAAGATCTGACTTGCACTTTCGTTAGCCCTCGTCTCCTGCGCTGCTCGGTGTGTGGGATTGTTGGTTTCGGGGTTCACCCCAAAGACGAATACTAATATATAGCAATATATTGTTAATTGTTTTTGAACTATCACATGTTTTTAAAATAAAATATGTCAATCATATCAAGTATGTCAATCATATCAAGTTTGAAATTGTCAAACGTCATGCAATGAATAGAGAGCAATTGCATGTGCTGATCCATCAGCGTGTGAAGATGCAAGGATAACATTTGATGCTGATCGTGGGCCATTTGGTCTGCTAAGAGGTCAGATAAGTTGCGCGTGCCTAAGGAGCATGGTGGAGTCGCCTAGAGAACAAATCATTTTTGAGGGTCAGCGGGGATGGCGTTTTTCGTGTGGTATGGGAAGGCCACATTCTGATTTGTGTTGGCTTGCTTTCAAAGGCTTGGAGCAATGACAAGAAAGATAGAGGGTCCGACACTTGGACCACGTCCTTTCATGAATGCGCGTTGGCCATTTGCAGCACTGAGTCGGAGACAGCATGCTGCCGAGTCATGACGGCTCTTGCAAAAGCTTTCGACGTTTGCCTCCAGGTGCCAGATTTCCTGGACCGTGTCTGTCAGTGGCATTCAGACTTGAATCTGGGTGCGGAGGCTATGCGTCAGAAGTTGCTGAAGAGCGCAGTTCGCGCTATGGATTGGGCTCATTTTGCTGGCTGCGTGAGACCAAAGGTGCACTACTGTCAGGCCAGTGGCAGGTTGTCAGTTTTGGCAGGCGATGTGTTGATGCGTTCAGCAAAGTATACATATGACAAGCAGGTCCGGTGCATAGCGAGCTGATGCTGATTTTATACTGAGCCATGTTGAATAAATGAATTGTTTTGCCCGTCTCCGTTGCGAGGAGCGAGTTGGATTAGGGAGACGTTGTTGGTTCGATAAGCCGTACAAGGTGGAAGAGCATGGTCCGCTTCCGAAGTCGTGGATGTAACCCACCTGTGGTCATCTGTGATGTTCGGATTGAATTTGTAATTCACCAGGGTCATCTGAGGCTGATCCTGTCTCAGTGCGTTAAAGCCTAGTCCGTTGGATGCGAGATATTTGCGCCCCTCAAACCAGTGCAAGAGTCAAAGATGTTGCTGTGTTAGGGCTGGACGCCTTTGCGTGGGTGAGACATTGAAGCAATCCAAGTCTGTAGCTGCGCTGAGTGGTGTCCTTAATGTGTATGCATGGGAGAAAGACACGTCAATATGTTGTTACCTATTTGATTTCTCTACATGTATAATCATGTATCATGTATAGGTATAGATACATCTGTCCTTCTTTTGTTTTGATTTTTGCGGTCGCACTATATGTCCATACATAGAGACCGGGAATGTAATCTACATTTTAATATATATCTGAAGGAATATTTGTATCTGTATAGTTTGGCGAAGAGAGTTTGGAAGTCAGATGTCTGATAGACGATAAGTTGAAGCAGAGAGGCCACAAAATGCATGTTGTGCGTGCTTCCAGGCAGCGGAGGAGCAAGAGAAGGTTGAGTATCTTTGGTGGTGGCGGGGATGGCACGTGGCCTTGTATCGTTGTGCCCTTTGCGTGTGTATGTGTAAGTGTAGAAACCCAGCTTTTCTGTGCTCATCGCCTGTCTCGTGTTAATTGGCTGTGTTCCCTCTCCGGTAAGTGCGTATGTGCGAAACTGTGGCTTCCCTTCCTGTCCCTGTCCTTTGTGTGCTGCCTCAGCCACTGTCTCCTTCCCTTCCCATTGCTTATGTATGCGTGTGTAAGTGTAGAATCCCAGTGTGTTTGCTTGTGTATGTGTGTGTGTCAGTGTGGAAACCCAGCGTGTCTGTACTCATCTCCTGTCTCTTGTTCCTAGTCGCTAATCTGTGGCTTGTCTTCCTGTCCCAGTCCGTTGTGTGCTGCCTCAGCCACGGTCTCCTTCCCTTCCCATTGCTTGCGTATGTGTGTGTAAGTGTAGAATCCCAGTGTGTTTGCCTGTGTATGTGTGTGTAAATGTAGAAACCCAGCGTGTCTGTACTCGTCTCCTGGCTCTTGTTCCTAGTCTTAGTTCCCTCTCCTGTGAGTGCGTGTGCGCTAATCTGTGGCTTTCCTTCCTGTCCCTGTCCGTTGTGCGCTGCCTCAACCACTGCCTCCTTCCCTTGACCCGTGTCCCCCTAACCCTGAATCCCTTGTCCGGCCCAAGAACAAGCAACATCAGCCAGCAGCATTTCAACCCCTGGGCCCAGTGAGCCCATCAATCTGGGGGAGCTTGACTGGCCAAGGCATCAAGACTGCAATGGATATGGATTATTTGTGTGCGCCCTTCCTGCCAGAGTCTTTGCCCTTGCTAGCTGATAGCTGGGTATTTGGGGGCTCGAGGTTTGCAGCTCACCTTTTACAGTGAGGCTGCTCACTGATGAGGTAGGAGACAATATCCAGCGGATGGAAGCCAGAAGATCAAAGCTGTGCATCCTTCTGCACCAGCTGCTCAGGGATGGCCCCTGGCCTTTTGGCCATGCTCCTGGACAAGGCCAAGGGCCAAATTGCATTCAAAGTCATGGTGTGTGGCTATGGAATGAAACTTCCAGCCATGGAGTTTTACAGAGGAGTCTTGGTGCCCAACTGACCTGAAATGCGAAGGGTCCTGCCACCTGCAGAGGCAACAGAGCTTATTCTCCAAGCAGGGCTGGACATAGGACAGCATGTACTTTCCGGAAGTTCAAGCTCTATCCTGTTGGGTGGGTGCACCACCTCAAAGCTTGTGGCCTCCCACCCATTCAATTTCCTGAAGCCTTCACCCACCCACCAGCAGCTGACAAGGCTGCAAGGGAAGGTGGAAGGGATGGTGGAAGCAATGGTGGAGTGGCAAGGCTTTAGGCTGGAGACAAGAGTGAGGCCAAATGGTTGCAGCTGGGAGATGTTTGAGCAGCAAGTGGATGGAGGGGCTGCTGAGCTCATTTCAAACACAATGGGTGTGGAGGTGCGCAAGGGCCTCATCCTCCACAGTGCCCAAAGGTCTTTGCATGCACTTGATTCACTGGGGCTGTGCGATTGCAGCAGCCAACAAAGGCAGCAGAGAATCCCAGCCTCAAAACCTTCAGCCTACCAAAGGCTGTTGCACAAGCTGGGCCTGACACGCAAGTTCACTCACTGGCGGTGCTTTAAGGCAGACCAGGCACTGGAGCCCTGGAGGCCTGTGCGGGGGGAAAGGATCTCAGGCAATTTTGGTGTACAACTCTGCTTTGCCAGCAGGCGCCCCTATCATCAGGGCAGGCCTTAGCTCTGAGGAAAATGCAAAGCTGGGCCACACCCATGCCCACCTGTTTGATTGAGATGCCCCTCTG